TTTTGTAAAATGATTTTATCGCATAAGTGCGTAATTTACCACACCACTATTCCATGTTTACTAAATGGCATATTGTCTTTGAACTAATAATATTTAGTGAGAATTCTTAGTTTCGACTGAGAAAATCTATTTCTGTAGTCTTATACTCTTATAATAGGTATTCAATTATATAATCAATAGAAATGGTAAAAATTTTATAGCTCGGTATGTTTGAATTATACTTTTACACATCATTTTTTAATTTCAAATATTCGAATAAACATTTAAAATTTAAAGATAAACACAGTTGTATACAAAAATATTAGTCATTTCGCATTCGTATATATAATGAACTTATAAGATGTATTTATTTCATAAAAAAACTTATAAGTTGCTCAATATAATATAATATATTATACACAATGTTGTGATCAAACACATCATTATTGAACTGAACTCTACGTAAGTATTTTCATAGTATTTCTTATGATTTAAATACCGTATTAGATATCACTATAATATTATAAGAAATAATTTTTCTGATAATAGTATTAAAATATTTTATGTCTTAGTGTATTATTTCGGAATTAAGAAATGTCATTATGTTATTTCTGATTCTTCTTATTCCTCTTAAGTGCTTACCCTTATCGTCGACTTAAGTGATTTCCCTCTGCCCTTATTTATAATAACATGAGTTTGTTACTATTTTCATATATTTCTCTGTCCCACTTAACAACTATACCTTAATAATCTTCGTACAGTTTGTTGTGGGTTCATCGTCAATGCTAAATTATCTGCACAACTGCACTTCCTATTCAGTTTAATCGTATTTTGATCATTTGTTTTCCAGAATGTTTTTTTGATGTCTATGAACTTCTTGAATGTGTGAAACACTTCTGCGAACATATTTTGTCGAGTAAGATGTATTTGGCTTAGTTATGAGAATATTATTTGTCATTCGGATGGATGACTTTCTTTTTTAATAACAAATTTTAATGAGATTTTTTATGGATGGTTCTCCTGTCTACATAATATACTGCCGACAAAGTATTTTCGTAGTTATATTTCTTACCTGGATTATTTTTACAACTTTTCATATTTTTGATTTTTGGTTTTTGTAGATATGATTATTAATAATTTAATAGCCTCTTTTTGCAACTTTTTGTCTCGTTGTGACTTATATACTTCTCCAATTTTTTATATCATTTTTTGTTTACACAGTGTCTTTTAAATATTACAAATTAAAATACATATCTTTGGTTTTTAATGTTTCTGTCGATGAAAACTACTCTTGCTCATGTATTGTTTGTACTTACCTTCATCTCTGATATGTTCTATACATTTTTAAAAAATATTTTAAACATTGCACCATAAAATGTTTATGTTTTGCATCAACAATTGCACAACAAAGATTATTTTTCAGAAAATCTACTATTTCTATTGATTTATTAGCATTCAGGTATATTTAATTTTGTAAAAACTACAAAACAATTAATAATGTAATACTAACTTATATCATGGTACCAGAAGCATTAAAACAATAATAAAATAAGTATGTTTAAAACTACTTAGTAACTTACTTATTGGAAAAAAAAAATTAAAAAAATTCCCACTTGTGAGAGTATATAATGAACGATGTATATTATATATCACATAAATTACATCTCATTTGACTCTCTAATTGCCACTTATGAATTTTATTTTTTAAAGGTTTACTTGAATTGCCTTCCAATTTTAAAAATATCATTCTACTGAATTACTTCCTATTTTATGCAGTTGGCACTCTTAGCCTGAATTTGACTCCGATGGATGAATTAATTTTTTTATTGTTTGAATCCCAAATATTGATTAAGCGCACACGCGGTGGTTAACCCAGTATGGTTTAAATCTGCCTTCGCATAAAAAGAAAAATTATTAAATTTTCTAATATTATCCACTATCAATGTGAGATGGTTTTAGCCGTTAGGCGAGTGTATCCAATTTGGTTTATTCTTTTCTATTGAGTACTTTGGGAGTAGCCTACCATTTATTGATTATGTGAGGGATAATTTAGTTAGGTTAGGTTATTTCACGTCTTTGTATGTGATGCTATTTAAAGTTGAGGATGGTATTGAGGTGATTTCATTAAGTGCTTCGAGATCAGCTCTTTTATTTAAGGGAATGCTTGTTTATCCAGAAATATATAATAAGCTTTGTGATTAGCTCAGTTAAATAGCTCAGTTGGATTTTCTGTATTTGTGATAGGTTAGGTTTAGAAGTTAAGATTAATTATTGAATTTTGAACTTTTTGATCGAGTTCGAGTTCCACAACTACCTCCGTAGTATATATCTTTGTACAATATATTTTCAATTATCAAGTTAGAATATTGAAAATTGAATGCATTTTTTCTCGTAATATAAATTTTAAATTGAAACACTTGAAACACTTGTAAATGTATATGTTGACTGTGTAATTTTAATATGTTTTAATAAATATATGAACTACTTATAAAGATACTCAAATTACATTTTCAAGCTATTTGGAAAAGCATAAATATTCTATGACGTTTAGTAGAAAAAAAAACCTATTTCAAGTATCTATAATTACTTCAAAAAAGGTTTAAGTATGATGGCACAACATAGTATTGACAGAGTTGGGTCGAACTCAAATATATAGTCTCAAACCGAACTTTTCATATGCCAGACCGAACTCGAACCGAACACGAACCAATAAATTCAGTGTTTATGTCGAGTTATTTTGGGGTTCGGGTTAATTATATAAAATTTGAAACTTTTTGTTTGAGATTGGTTTGGTTCGATGTTTTGAATTTCAAATAATTTGACCGAGGTCGATAATTTTTGGATATAAATACTTCACGTTTTCCTTCAATTAATAATGACAAATTGACAAATACTATTTGTTTAAGATATTACGATGGTTAATGCACATATTTTGTTTTTGCATTGTGCCATGTCAAGTAAATATTTACACTCAATCAAAGAGATAAATACTTTTTTAGTATAATATCCTAGATCTGGGATGGCAAACCTTTTGAACACAGCGAAATTAGTAATAACCTTTTTTTTAGAGCGTTCCATGAAAAAAATATTATATTTTGTTAAACTATAATTCGATTGTATAATTAATGTGTTAGTATAAAAAGGTTAGCTTAAGTTATTATAGGTCCTATAATATTATATATTATGTAATAGTAAATTTTCGCCTGCCCACAAAAGCTTTTCGCGTCACCTCAGGCACGCGTGCCATGGATTTGCCATCCCTGTCCTAGATACACATAGGTAAATAAACACTGTACCAATTTAATTAAACCTCCATTCAAGTGTGCATAATATTGTGATGACAAGCGTCCACCTCAATTTAGCTATAATAACAACTATATGAAACATTACTATCGAAATCCAATTATTTATTTATGTGGATTTTTAAATTGAAAATATTGAATTGGTTTTAGTATATAATATTTATAGATGTGTGAATGTGCTAGAACGTATTAATAATATTACGAATATCCGCGGATTTAAATTTTAAATATCATCACACATTTTATCGAAAATAACATTTCAGGTGTTGGAGTAAGTACCTAACGTACACCATAGGAGTGAGATAAAGGAACCGTATAACAAACTGGCATTTAAAATAATATGTATATATTATATTGTAGTTTTAAAATAATTATTTATTTTTTTTCAAAGTATACAACTTTATTTACGTTTGTAAAATGTAGATTTAAATATTAAATTAAAATCTGTAACTTTTCACAACTTTTAGTTGGAATATAATACGGTACACATATTATATCTTTACTAAATTATAATCATAACAAGATGAGTAGTAGAAAAGTACTCAATTTCACATTAAACTGTGTCTTTTAATTTAAAGTAATGCAACATTTGCAATTTCGTACATTGCATTATATTTAATTCTTTGTTTAAAATCAAAATATATGAAATAACTTAATCTTAACAAATTACTACTTAAAAAGACTATCCATTAAAAACAATTTGTTGTAGATAAAATTATGGATTTCTCTCACGAATTAAAATACCTCACCTGATACAATGATACAAATATACAATTAATATACATTTATATAGGTAAAATGTAAACATGACAATACAAAGAATAACTTAAACTCGAAATCATCCAAAAATATTAGGCTATTAAATTGTATTTTCAAATATACTATCTGACACTGTTTCTACTAACTAGTAAACTATATTAATAATAATTCATTAAATCTATAATTTTTTTTTTAAATTGTACATTGTTACACAATATGACTTTATATCATTAATAATAACAATTAAAATAATGTTTATTCGTACAGACATTTCTATCAGTTATTAAATTAATTGATAATAAACTGATAACATATACTCAATTCGATAATCCAAATCCATAGCATAATGTGTTAAGTCATTACTAAATTATTGTAAATGAAAAACTATTTCCAATATTGATACTGTTCACCGACATGTGCTCGAGATAAAAATACATAACATCTTTAATATTATAGCAGTTAAATGTTTTGTTTCGGAACTTCTGGTTCTTCGTCTGTGTTTTAGTTTTCGTCGTATACTTTATTTCAGCACAAGAGACAATCGTTTTATTAACAATAACATTTGCAGACCGCTAGTACAGTTAATTTATGCTTAGCGTGTATGGTAAACTTAAATCATACGTTTAAAATAGCAATAGGCGGAGAGCGGAGCGATAGACGTCGTCGTTGTGTCGTATACGCTGCACGGAAATAACTTCCGCATCGCCTTGTAGCACATTATTTTAATGTGTCGACGCCTAATTAAAGTGCGCGACTAAAAAAAAAAAAAATTCTATGTTCAGTCACACATAATGCCTTTATTGTTGTGTACTTACATTGTCATTCGCGACCAATCGTGTTTACAATAATATTGTACTCACGTTCGCGTGACACAATGTTTTCGTATCGCCGTGCCTGGTCACTATGGTGTTTTGGATGGACCCACCTAAAATTTGTATGCCTTTTGTTTCAGTATCGCCAAGCGTCGACCGGTTTTGTGTGGACGTAACTCGTTTTCTAAACCTTGTTAATCATACTGTAGACTGTAGAGCGCGAAACAACACGCGCCGCCAGTACGGTAAAAAACACTGTACTGTCGTGGCATGAATTCTTAATCAATTCCCGATGTGACTCGTAGTATAAAATATAATATGACACAATTAGTTAATTAATTTTTTGTGGGTGATTAACCGATCAATTTCCTTCAAAATCAAGTCACCGTCAGCTACGACTTACCGTCAACTCGATAAACGACGTGAGTACTTTGATTTTTTGTTATATTATTTTCCCTATTTTTACTTGACATTAAATTATTGATAAGCCAAATTTCCAAAGGGTGCACCATGCGCGTCACGAGCAAAGTAAACGTTTATTTTAATGGTGGGCGTTTAAAGCACCTATGCTAGGCCCGAATTACGAGGACCGGTTGTGAGTGCTTAGTCGTAATTTTGTGTTTAAACAATGATCAGAAATTAGTTGTACAGGTTAGGTTGAATCCAACTATCAAACCGTACATATTTTTTTAGCTGTACCTAGCTGCAATCATGCGTCACAATTCCTTAACATCGGTAGTACCTTGTCTATTTAGGCACTGCCTGCTGCCCGATTTCGATGAAAAATGTTTGAAATAGCCAGCCTGGACTATAAGGAATTGCCTAGTTCATGCCACAGGAAAATGTAAGCTACCTAGACTCCCTACGTTTCTTAGAAAAACTTAATTTTTTTAATATGCACATATAACATTCAATTTTCCAACACAGTTTTTATTTTATTTTTAATAATGCTCATACATTTTAGTTTTATAATTTATTTAATTTAATACATTTATATAATATATTATATTTTACAAATATAATAATAATATTATCAATGTATTACATAAAATAAATACAAATTGTTTTAAATAAAAATTAATTTCAAAAGATTATTAACTCGATGGCATTTAAAAAAATATAACGTCATTATATCATATATTACGTATTCATCATCGTATAGTATTAGCGTCATTTAAATTATACGTGTATACCTATAGAAAGTAATGATATGTTTAAACACAGGTTCCTAGATTCTTTAATATTCATTGGCTATTTTAAAAATATTAGAATTGCTAATTCACATGAATAAGTCGAAAGATTAAAAAGTATAATGTAATGTCAACAAATGGCTTTAGATTGCACATAGACTCATTGTAATATCAGAAAAACACACATACTCGTATTATGTGTTTGAGATTTTAAATCTTTAGAAAATTTAAATTCTAAGTTGTTTTTTTTTTTAATTTAAAATGCTATTACAACATAAACTACATTGTTTTTAACTACATTTTATATAAAAATACTGAAATACATATCAAAAATTACGTAGAAATAAAAATAATAATATCAAATTATGAAATAAGTAGCAAATGAATTAGATATTTATTTTTAGTCTTTACTTTTTTTAAGTGTGTGTATTGATGCATATTTTACAATAAAATACTATCTCTTTCGTAATTAGTGCGTTTGTTAACGTACCTATATAATTACGTGGCTAATACAGGCCCTCCTGTACATAAAACTATGGGCGCCTGTACTAAATATTTTTTCGGGCCCTGTACAAATAAACTTGCAATAATAAAAATATAAAATACAACCCATTACAAGTATTACGAAATTCCCATACACTATAATCTATAGGTAATCACTTATCAACACAACATAAAATATCATTCGGTATAAGATCATACACATTCATACATATGCAAATTTCAAGGATTCCGTGAAATTAATAAGATAATAAAATTAAATAATGTCATTGTAATTACCTACTATTGAATTTTAATTGAAGAATTATTGTTTTTCATAATAATACATATGAGTACAACATGTTCAACTTAAGGTTCAGATTAAAAGACTTATCTTAATAAAAAAAAAAGTACTTATATAGGTAACTTCAAAACTGACCAAATATTTTTTTTACGAGAGTCTATGATGCAATCAATCACATAAATAAATAAACAATTTGACTACTTTAGCTTTTGAAGAACGCAAGGTTTCACCATTGGATAATGATGATTAATAGTTGTATACCTATTATACTACTGCGACAATATATTTTGAATTAAACGACTATATAACTATATTATGCCTTTGATCACTTTTAATTTTATTTTTATTTCAGTACACTTGGTTAAAAACATTAAATCATCAACCACATAGGTGCATATAGTCAATATAGCTCAACAGTTATAACTATTATAGAATACGGATAATTTAATATTATGCTTATTTATATAATAATAGTGGAACATAATATACGTAATAATATATCAGAGGTCGATTAAAAATGTACATTAAAGTAAATACAGATTTCTGCGAGCAATGACATAATCTTCGATCTCTGAAATAGTTAAATCTGTAATTTTAAAATTTTGTAACACACTTGCAAATAGTGTATTATCTTAGTTAATAAGGGTGCAATTTAAAATGGAATATAGTCCCGGTTTTGAGCATCGTATCATCTTGTCAGAACACACTTCAAACAGGACATTTTCTGTCCTGTTTGTAAAAAAAAATCTCGTTTTAATCCCTTTATCTCCACATTACACAGTAATACGCGAGTATAAAGGAAAACAATCAATACACGGGACGAACACAAAACAACTTTTTAAAAGTTTAACATGAAATCATTAAAACCAAAGTTAATACATTTTATCAACAACTGTGTTTGCATAACGACCGTAGAACAATAATTATGAGCATGAGAGTATGAGACATCTCGTTCTATATCTTATGGCGTATTTCACAGTGTAATAATTATTATGAAAGAAGACGATACAACAGCTCACCTTAATTAGTAATTACTAACAGGAAAACTTCATCTCAACAATGCCTTTAAAATTTTAAACAATTATTTTTAGGTCTACTTTATTAAGAACCAAGCCAAAATTGTCTGCGGCGTTTTTTTTTTTCGCCAATACATATTAAGCAATACGAATTTTTTCCCTATACCTACTAGTTTTTTTTACAAAATCGATTGCATCGTTTGGTTGTAATTAAAAAAACGAATAACCTTATGGATACTTGAACTTTTCCGAAAATATGTTGTAATATTTTGATTATTTTTGAGCTATTTATAAGCATTTTACATTTTTTATACTTCATTTCATTTTCATAAACATCGATACGACGATTTTTACACAAAAAGTTCGACAATCGTTGTGCAATACCTTACCCAATCCTATACACCCAAAGTACGAATGCGCAAAAACTATTGCGCTATTATTGTATTACTAATATTAATATAAATATGTAGATTACTGTATAGTATCATAAAATATATTTAGTAATATGTGAGTAAATAAAATACGTTATTATTTTATCACGAATTCGAGCCTAATATTCGATCAGTCCCAGATTGTTCATTTTCAAAAAAAGCTGGATATCACTAAAAACTACAAAAGTAATTAAACTTCATACTTCGCACGTACTTGCACCCACACACCCACACACACACACTTGTTTTTTTTATATGATATTGACATTCTACATTAGTATATTATAAAATTAATATCAATCGTGTATGAATAACATTTATTTTGTTCAGGACATATTTTTATTCGGGACACTTTGCACCACAAAATATATTCATGATTGGGTCATTCAAACTTTATTTTTTTACTAGAATATCGATAAAATTTAAATCTATTTTCTAGTTATAGAACAGTCAACTCAGAATTAAATCATATTTATACGTTTTTTTTTTTTTTTTATTAGACTTGAAATTTAACAATTTCTGCTTCGGCAACTAAAGGCCATTGGCATTACATTTGTACAGGTAAACATTAAAAAGAAAAAAAAGAAGACAACTAAATGATTAAATAAAATATACAGTTTTAAAATACTGTTTAGTTATTTACGTACAAAAGGGTGATTTGTTGTTTTTATAGGTGTCAGATGATTCACTCTCAGTTTCCATTTTGTTTGTTTCGGCTTTCTTGAACATTTTATTCGTTGTTCTTGTGATATTATTTTTATTTCGGGTCTAATTAATTCTAAAGTTGCGATGTTAGTTAGCATGTCGTCGATACCGTATTGTGTTATGACTTCTAGTGGGGATGGATGGCCTTGGACATTTTCGATGAGGTGTTTAAATTGCTCAAACGTCAGTAATATTTTCTTTTGATTATATTGTGCTGCTCTTGCTGGTTTTAGTAGTTCTTCGGCTATATAATATCGGTAAATTTACTATTTCTTTTTTCTTTGTGCCCCTTATTATCATCGATTGTTTGTCCGTCTTCATAATCAGTTGGTGTATTATGATTTGTTATTTTCCTGTTGTTATGTAACTCAGATATTGTGTGGACTGACGATTTGGCTTTCCTCTTAAGCTATTCCCAGTTGTTCAAGAAGGTTGTTATTTTTTCATGTTCTACTTGTATTCTACCCTGTTTACCTGAAGTTTGACAAATTTGGCCAGTTGCAGGAAAGGTGTCGTTATTATCATGAGCGATATCTGATACATAATTATTATCATAATGGGTGTGTTCATTATTTATATAAGTCTTATATTGTGAATCATCTGCTTGTGGGATATTATTAATTGTTTTGGTGACATCCTTAGCATTTATTTTTACATTTTTCGTATTGTTGGAGGATTCATTTGAAGGACGCTGTTAATTGAACATCGGTTATAAATATTTGATATTTCGTGTTTTCATGAGTGATGAAAGAACTGGGTAGTTTATCTAAGTCACCCGGTATTATATATATATATATGTCTACAAAAGCCGAGAATATGCTAGAATTCTACTTAATATATTCTGGCTAATAGATTAGTGATAAAGAAGACGAGGGTGTTATGTTGACTGAAAATATTGCTCGCAATGTTATTTTGCTGGGAATCGTTTTGCATACATTGGATAGTATAATCCATTTATTTGGATTACGATGTCTTCGTATTTTAACTGGTTCATCATGTATGCATTTGGTTTCATGTTTGTTTATTAATTTATCGACTCAATATTTGTTTGATAGAAAAATACAGAGTCTGTCTTTCGATATGCGAGATATAAACATTATATTTTTTGGTGAAATAATTTTAGTTATGGCCATTATGTTATCTTTCTATGAAATTGTGTTTGCGTAGTCATGTTAATGACTATTTCTTGGTCTTTTTTTGGGAATGTTGTATGTTAAAGTCGCTGTGGCAAGTGTCTGTGTTATTTCTGGTTGACTTGTATTAATTTATGTAGTCTTTGCGTTGAGTATTGGTTTATTGGTCTCTTTAACCGTTTCATTTATTGAATTCAATCATTTCAAATTTATATTGCTCAGTTGTATTTTATTTTGGGTAGTTTTTGAATTGACAGGTGATATGTTAGTTATTTTATGATTAGGTTTTATGGCTAGGTAATTAGTGTTATTTTTAATTGGTGTTTTAGGTGATTGAGTATTTCGACGGCCCATAATTTGTTTATGGGTTATCCCTTTCAGGTTTTTTGAAGATTTTGGAGAACTCATTTTCCTCCCCTTTCCCGATTATTTTATACTTCGCATAGTTTAAGAGTCTATACCTAGTTCTCATGGGTTCACTGCTATGTGATATAAAAAGCTTTTGTAAATGCACGCTCCCGATAAGCGGTTGAAATGGTGAACACAAGTGTATCGTCTACGGGAGTTAAACACTTACTGTATAAGTTTTTATTACCTTCATTACCTTCGTATTAATAACTTAGTAGTTAAATTTGTTATTTTTTGAAATTACAATAACTATTATATTATCAAATATTGTATTACGTCCTGCTATCTAGTGGTTATTTCATGTACTTATTATTTACAAACCAAATAATTTTAAAATATTAAATACAGGTAAATAATAGATTAGGATTCTCGATCTTAATCACGTAGCAGTATACAGCATTCGATTGTATTTACCATCTTAATTTCAATCCTGACATTTATTTTTGTTTTCAGTTTTTCAGTAATGAGTTAGATTATATTATTACAGAGCCTCTATCATATATTATTTAAAATGTACATAAGTAGTAAGAACACTACAGTTTAAATATTTTATAACTTAACACAAATTAAAACTAAACGTAATGTTTAAATTGTATCATTGGCCAGGGCACACATTACTCACAGATCAAGCAATTAGAAAAATAGGACCCCTCGGCCCTCACTAAAATAAAGAATTACTTAACAAACTATGATAACATATTACTTTTGCATCACCTAGAATAGGATACTATACGTTCTTTGATTAAATTTAAATGAAATTATACCTAAAAAATGTATTCTACAAAGCGATGTTGAGCCGTTAAACATTTTTTTCACCACATGTAGGACACACAGTTTTCAATCTGAGTTTTTGATAATATACTTCTTAGCTTCTTCGCTTTTCTCCGAATCCAAATTCCCACATAGTTTTACTACAGTAGAATTGTAATATGGTTGCTTATGGTCTTTGATAACAAACCACTAAAACAGTAATATATATTACATATATTATAATATACAGGTTGCATCATAGCTAAATAGCTAATACTATATCAGTGTTGCAAGCGTTGTAAACTGTGATAAAAGATTTGACGATAAGCCTATATTTTATATTTTCACGCGGATCGTGTGATGTCTAAAAAATTATTATATATTTTTTGAATATTATAAAAGATATTATCAAAAACAATGCATTGGTATGATAATAATTTAATTTTAAAATACTATATTAACACTATACTTAATTCATTTTTTTTTTTAAACCAAAACATTAAAATGTGTACATAATTATTACAGTAAGAAGAAAAATGTAAACGAAATTAGGCAAACCATTTAATAAATGTTATACAAAATAATTTTTTTTTTTTTTAAGCTTCGGCAATTGAGGCCATTAGCTGTAGGTTTGTGGTACTGTAGGGTTTTGGAACACGTGTGTGTTTGTTTGGCAGAATTTCTAGCGGCACCCGTAGATTTCTGCCATGCCCGGTTGAGGGATGGTGGCACAAAATTACGTATATTCATTACTAAAGGACTTTTGTAGTCGATAATATTTAATGATAATGATTGTAATAATATCGCTATGCTATGCACTGTTAATACTGTATTGTATTATACAATCTTATTTTTTTTTCAGACAAAGCTTCAGAGATGTTTATTAACTGCAACAAGAGAAAGTAAGTGATCAGATAAAACTAACACAATAATGACTAATAATAAATTGTCAAATATATACTATTGTTTTAATTCCCATAAAATATGAACATACAAAAATGTTCAACCTATTGATAAAAAAAATAGTGAGATAATTGTTTTTAATTGGTTGCATTTCCTCAATGAGTTACGCATATTATACTGTATTATAATTTGTATAAATACATAACACGTTATTACAAGTTACAACACATGTTCGAACATTTTTAATCATTGTAATTATGTCATACAATTAATATTAATGTAGTTTTGTTTTAAAACCCGTATAGGGGGGTTTACGCCATACCATGCAGTGTCATATATTATGATTATATTGTGAGTTCGTGCCAAAATGCGAGACCAGTGATTTTTGCCATGAAATTATTATTTTTGTAAAGTTCATATCAATCATATAAAAATATAAATCAATATTGTACTTGAATTTGTTGAGTTATAATTTTTCTGCGGGGCTGTTATAAAAATAAATGTAACCACATAATCAAAAGTTGAATAATGTTTTCAACTCTGTGATAACGTCGGTATCAAGTGATAAAATGGTATATTTTATTTGAATGTGGTTCAGACAATTAAAGACGGTTATTTTACATGATATGATACGGCACGATGTACAGTGATCCTTCCTTTAGTCTTTATTTGTTGTCTTGTATTTTAATACATTGTCGGATTAAAATAATCACATTTTTAAATTTCTATGTTGTATTTATATATTTAAAAAAAAATTCTATCTACCGTATAATCAATATTGAACACAACATAAGTTTTAGTATTTTCGTGGAAAACATATTCTTTACATAGATTTGAAGAAAAATAAATTGTTATTCAATCAGGACTCCATGATAATATGAAACGAGTTGTGTAAATTAATTATGTATTCTTAAATGTATATTATAATTATTACTGTAGTCATAATTACAATATTTTATGTTATTTATCAAACCAATTGAGAAAATAATTACGTTTTAAACTATTTTTAGTCTATTATCATTATAAAGTTTTTCAAACCGTTATTTAAAAATTAAATGAATTATAGTTCTATTAGTCCACCACTTAACACAGTAAAAAACATTAACATAGAATAATTAACAGCCTACACTCATAACAATTTTTCATTAGTAAAATCATTTGCTTAAAGTGAACGTTTCGTTTGTAAAATTGGATATTCATCCTATGGATAACAATTTTAATCAAATATTTATGTAAAATGGCTCATAGTAATTATTGCAAATTGTATTGCTTTAGGGCGTGTAGCACGGCGGTGGGCTTTTTCGGTATCGCATTTGTCATCATTTTCTTACTCATACCTGCTATTTGGCGTTATTCACCTTCAATTCAAAAGAGTATGATATTCCTGAATCATGGTAATTATGAAAAAAAAAATTATTTAAATGCAATATTGTTATAATATTAGTATACATTTCAAATACAACAAAAGCACCGGGTACAGTATGTGGATTATTTTGTACCTAATTATAAAAAAATTACATACATTTATTAATTATTAATTTTACTTAAAGACAAATTGTACATACTTACCTCCATTTTTGAAATGACGGAGGAGTTGGAGCTATATTTGATTTTTGGACTCAATGAAAACAATGTTGTACATATTATTTTTTTGAAACGAACGATAATGTCCACGGGGCACTATATACACTAGGACTACCTAAGTATTGTTACAACAACATGTTTCGAGTGGCTTAAAACAAACATTTAACACGTTACAAAAATGTCTAAAAAAAAATACACGTCGGTTGTGTTATCAAAAATCAAATATTTTCTAATACTGTCACAATAAACAAAAATCAAATATCGCACTATAGTTATACTATCCACGGTGCCTACAATTAATGAAAAAAGTGTACATGGTGTTCAAACCATTATTGTCATTATTATTTTACAACAAAGAGGCAGCATGCTTTCTACTATTTTAGTCTCGTATTTTGTGTTATAATTTATTATATAAGTTATTACGTAGGTACTGTATGCTTACATAAATGATATTATAATCTTTTCCAAGTCACTAAAAGTGAGTTGCAAATATTATAGTGTTTTAATACTCATTGCGAGCACCTTACGTACTTTTTATTTTATTTTAGACTTTATGCCTGACATACAGAATTATAGTCATCCGGAAGCTTACGGCTTGGATGGAACGAGAAATTTTTACATTGATACAAAGGACAATGTAACGTTAGGAGTGTGGTAAGCAATTATTTAATAACCAGAAAACAATGAAACGGAATAGCTTAATATAAAGTGTAATAACGCAAAAATAAAAAGAATAAAATAATTTAAAAGAATAAAATAAATTATAGAAATCAATCGTAAATGTTAGTACGACGCCTGCCGACACTAATATTCAAGATGATCTAAATTTACGTTACTACCTTCCTCCTGATCGTCGGAGGGTTCTCGAGATCGTGTGTTCGAGAATTTGATCAAATACACTTCTATGGTGTAGATGTAGATGCATGCACATATAATTTAATATAATGCAGTCAACAATACTATATTTTATATTTTAATATGTATTATGTCTTACCTGACTCGCAGCTGTCTCTGGGTTATGCAGTAGGAGTTTTAGGTGACACAAATTAATTATTTAAAATACTCGAATAAAAATAAAGAAACACACTGATTATTGCTCGTCAAAAGGAGTCCAGTTGTCGCTCGTAGAATTCGGTATAGAGAGGTTGTTAATCTGTTTTCGCGGTGCGCCTGCACTCGCGAGAGGCTGTTTCACTCGAGGAAGGTGCTCATGCACTGCCGAAGGGACGATCCGGTTGTGCCGGCCAGAGAGTGATAGGCGGCTTCATCAAAAGGTTGTTTTGTACATCCGATTTCTCTTCTGTGACAAGGACCTTTTTTACCATACCTTTTCTCCGGCGGCATGTAAGAAAGCCACACGTCCTACGCTCTACAGTTGCAAACATAGGTACGTGTCGATTTCTTAATCCCTGATCGTATAATATAATTAGACAATTTTGTCTGTGACAATAATTTATTGGGGTCTAGAGATTTCCGATTTCTACGTGTGACAGTCTGGCCGTTATTTATTTATTTGCTATATCTTAAATAATTGTTACAATGATGTGTGAGCATATCATTACAAAAGTAATACTATGTTTACAACAGGCCATCTATACCTACGTCAACTAATTCAGAATTGTGATTGTTAAACGACTTTGAAGCTTATTAGAATTAAAACATGCATGATCATTAAAACGCTCGAAATTCTGAACTCTTCAAAATTATATAAATTAACTAATACATTTCGATTTAAGTGTTAACATTTTCAATCTTGAAAATGAAGCACCAAATATTATAAAATGGGATTTTACCGAAATTTCAATGACCGATTGGTTTTGTCGTGATTACAAATCAATTGTGTTATAGGCACTTTAAATTATAGAATGTAAACACCGTTGTATTCAATTTAAACTGTCGACGATTTTTTTCTGTTAATTGTTTTAATTCAGAATAACATTCGTCGGAATATAAAATGAACAAACAAAAGTGCTGGTTTTTAGAGTATTTTTTAAAACTCGTTAAACCAATTAGTTTATTTTAGCATATAAGAGCATTTTTACGAAACAATCTTAAATTAATTCACATTGCAATTAGTACTTTGGCGTATAGTCGATAACCTATTATGTTATTACTAAATTTTCGTAAATATACATATTTTTTACAAAGTAGTCACTTATAAGTTATAATAACACCGTTATACCAACTCGTCCTATTATTATTTTACCAATGTCAAATAACATCATCACAGACATTATAATATAATATCCAGCAACTTGGTTGTATTATACGGAGTAATCGAATCTAGTTACGAACGACTTTTGAGTCGCAGAGAACATATTATCAACCATTTATCAAACAGACAAAAGTGCTGGTTATTTAAAGCATTTTTTAAACTAGTGACATAAATTAGTTTATTTTGTATAATATAACAGCCATTTGCTTGAAACAACCTTAAACAAATTCACACTCCAGTTATTAATACTCTGGCGTATTACCCATCATCTACCATAGTATTACAATTTCATAATAACATTTATTTTTCTCGCGTAATAATATAGCCATTTCTAATCACTATCGATCATATTGTTATTTTATCAATACGATATTACAGGCATATATTACCGCGTAATTTGTTCACAAAATACGGAGCAAACGAATCCAATTACGAACAACTCTTGGGCCATGGGGAACCGATTATCATATACATGCATGGCAACTCTGGTGCCCGCCCGAACAATCAACGGATAGAATTGTATCGCAAACTCCGGGATATCAACTGTCACGTTATAGCCGTAGACTACAGAAGTACAGTACATTCATTACTTTTGCCTCGTTTCGTCGGCGCATTTTGTTTGATTTTAATGAAAACCGATTCGTTACAGGTTATGCCGATTCTACAGACGTCGAAATCGACGAGACCGGCTTAGTATCGGATGCGATGGAGACATTTAAATGGGTTTACAAACGCGCGCACGGAACGCCGATCTTTGGCTGGGGACACTCTCTGGGCACTGGGTAATGTACCTGGCTATTCAATACCGTTTTGTCGAGGAAAAAACAAAAAAATAAAATATGAGGAATAATAGTAATATTATTATAAAAGTATACGATAAACATTAAACGCAGTATAAGGTGAGCTTCTGTTACACAGACCCTCTCAGAGAGAGAGAGAGAGAGAGAGAGAGAGAGAGAGAGAGACAGCTCAACAAAAAAATATAAAAACATTTTAAAAAAAAGATAGCATACGCCTTAGGCAGCCAGGTCCCGTTATATTACACGTGTATTGACTATCTTTCTCTAACCATGTTGGCACATAACACCATATGGTAAGGTATGCGGTAAGCGCGATCCATATATTAAAAAGTCTATGTAGAACAATTGTGAGCAATGATCATGAGAGTATGAGACATCTCGTTCTATATCGTATGGCGTATTTCACAGTGTAATAATTATTATGAAAAAAGACGATACGACAGCTCACCTTAATTAGTAATTACTAACATTATAACTTTATCTCAGCAATGCCTTTAAAATGTTTAACAATTATTTTTAGGTTTACTTTATTCAGAACCAAGCCAAAATTGTCTGAGCCTGAGGCGTTTTTTTTTTACGCCAATACACATATTAGGCAATACGAATGTTTTCCTTATACCTACTAGTTTTTTTTACAAAATCGATTGGTTATAATTAAAAAAACGAATAACCTTATGGATACTTGAACTTTTCAGAAAATATATTGTAATATTTTGATTATTTTTCATTTTCAAAAAAAGCTGGATATCGCTAAAAAAATATAAAAACATTTTTAGAGAAAAATAGCATACGCCTTAGGCAGGCAGGTCCCGTTATATTACACGTGTATTGACTATCTTTCTCTAACAATGTTGGCGCATAACAACATATTATGATAAGGTATGCGGTAAGCGCGGTCCATATATTATAAAGTCTATGTTCTGTTCGTTAGTAAATATTTGTCACTTTGGAATTATTGTGGAGTCGTATCACTATATGCACTCACGTAACTACAATATACAATAGTGCAGGCTGAAAATATGTTGTATGAATAACAGCAATGCAATGGGTAAATATTTAGAAGAAAAAAACCATCGATAATATGCAAGAGATTTATTGCATACGTTCACTGAGTGTTCACCGTGTTTGTCACCGTATTATTTTAAAAACGAATTCTTTTTTTTTTCTCGAAAACACCAGTGAACATTTTACAGCCATGCGACATGAAACGGCCACTCCTTATCCATCATAATCTAATTATTTTTTTTTAGGCGAGTTAAATAGTATTAAATTAATAAAGATTATATACAATTAACTTTAAATCTCACTATTTTTATATTGCAATTAAATAATTAAAATTAATACCAACCTAATTATGGTCAATCTTAGATTCTAAGTGTAGCGTAAATATTTATATTAGCATTATATTATATAGACTTGATATCATTTTAAAAATATCTTAGCACATTTTTGTTCTACTATTTCTAGGCATTTGAACTGTTAATTTGTTTTTTAAATGTGTGCCTGTAATATTTTTTATTCTCGTGGAGTCAATTAGTTTGACAATTCAAACTGGGTTCCTCTATTCATCATAAGTTGTTTTTGAAGTATTTAATAAATATAAAAATTCATATCACAATTTTAAAGAAATTTGAAAAATTTAAGAAAACTTGCAAATTAGTTTGTAGTTCAAAATTTGTAAGCATTTTTAATTGAATACCTAAATTAGAAGACCTAAGTTTTGAATATATATTTCAAAATTGTTCATGTATTAAGGTCACTGGAATAAGAAACCACAGTGTAGCGTTAGCCACATTATTATTTATTTATGAGAGTTTGAAGTTTAAATTTGTGTGTAATTTAGTACTAAAAAAATTTTAAAAAAAAAGACTTTACCACAAATGATTTTTATTTTTGGTCGTAATTCAAAAACTAAATTTCCACTTAAAACTAATGATATAACTCTACATATATTTAAGACAATATAGCTGTAGACCGAAGTCTTTTTTTACTGACAATAATTTAGGAATTAGAGAATTCAGTTTAATTACTCTGACTAGTATTTTATCAGGATTTTATCTGGATACTACCTACAGAGAATACACGTAAAAGATGATATAGTAGGTAACTACCTATTAGTAAGTAGTAAGTACCCATTATTAAATTATTTCACGGTTAACGACATTTCTTTTTTTTAACATTTTCATAACTTTTTTATATGCTTATAATATTTTAGGATAACTCTTTACCATACTTCACTGTTAAACTATTAGCCATGTACCACGTCGAATTTTTAAAGGTTAGTTGAGAGTAAACTCTTTGGCTCTACAATTGTGAATTGATTTTCATCCATACTTTTTGTATTCTTAGAAAGGCTTGACATTTTTCATACATCATATTTATAGGACGAGGTACTATAATACAGCTGATATACAAAGTCTCATAAGAAAATAAAAAAAAACGAATGAAAATGGTTATAATATATTATTAAAATGAATTACAAAACATGACATTTGTATTTTCTAAATATTTATAATTTTAAATTATTTCCACAATTTCTTCCAAAAAACTTTTTCTAATTTTGCTTGTATGGTTCACACAATACTGTCCACCATTTAAAATGTCGGTTTTTTTATTATCTTATGCACTATTTCATGTTTATTATTAATGGCGTATTAGTTGCAACAAATATTTAGTGAGCATAACTATCTTAAATCATAATCGAAAAATCCTTATTTTAAAAACCGGTTGTTTTTAAATCTGTTTCATGCTGTATTTAGAACACAAATACTTTTCTACAACTTACAAGTAACTATTTGAATTTTCTAAATTAATTTCAGAAAGTCACAAAGATTATAACCAAATTATTGGAAATATAAATTGTACAAATTTTTAAATGTTGCGCACTTATTAATTATTAAAAATATACCGTCTATTTTTAATAGAATAACCTTGAACTCTACTCAGAATCTTTCTTAAACTAAAAAACACAGAAAATGTAACTTAAAATGGTATAATAATAGTATTAAGTAGAGGTACAACGTGACATTGTTTCATTATATTGGATTCAAATCTGCTGTGGGGCTTATCCATGCAAACTAAAATTATGTAAATATATTCCTAATATACCATTCCATTTAAGTTAGATGATTTTGTCAAACTCTTAAGCAGTTCCGACAGCGTAGTCTATGCCACAAAAAAAGATAACTGTGTCAGGATAGCTTGAAAAAAAAAAAAAATTAAAAACTATTCCACATATTATTTTTTAACGTAGATATTATATTTTCAATTCTTCAGATTAATTTTATAATATTGCGTTTAATGAATTGGTTCTAGTAGGCATGTGGTTTGAATACGAACTTATATAATATTTCTCGTAAAACAATAACAAAACACATCATATTGTATGCAATATTCATGGTTCGTAATCAGTCACAGAACATACTTAATTACTGAATAATTGTTAATTGCTGTGGCCGAGCAAACGTTAACGTCTTAAATCATTGGCTATGTCTATAAAGTGATAGTTTATAATACGAACAACCTAATGCGTCTCAATAATAAACACATGCAACAAATATCGTTATAATTTATTAAGCAACTTCCCACACCTGAGTGATATACATTTCAAAGGATTCATTAGGCTGTCTATAATAATTCAATTATCATGTTTCATTCGCTTTTTAGGATTGGAGCACATGCGTTTTCGTTATTGGAAAAAGAAAACATCTATCCCAATGGACTTATTTTAGAAGCACCGTTCAATAAAATGAGTGAAGCAATTAGAGAATATTCAACTACTACGGTGATTTGAATTCAAGCATATTTATTAAAAATTACCTTGCTTAGCCTAATATATTTACTTAACTGTCACAAATCTATTTTGTTCTTCCATTATTATATGTTTGATGTGACACTATGAAATTGATGTTTTAATGAGAGATGACGTGTTTTTATTAGGTTCTTCGATATTTCCCTTGGTTTGATTTTTTCATTATTGACCCAGTCATTGCAAATGGAATTGTTTTTGATACCGAACAAAACTTGAAAAATGCGAAAGTTCCTGTGCTAATATTACATGCTCGAGATGATATAATAATACCGTACCAGCTCAGTGAAAACGTAAGTGTAAAAAATACTATGTTAGAATATTCGACAATATTATTTTATGCACCTACATAATACATGGATTAAATGTAAAATGTGGATCATGTATTTTTGTAATGATTTTTAATTACATTAATTTTAAAACTACCAAAATATCATTTACTTAGAGTTAGAAATCACATGTAATTGATAGTACTGCACACATTTCTAACTCTGTCATTGATTATTTTCTTTTCCTCATTTTTGCATAAACTATTAGTATTGTACAGTGTATTATCCTGTTCTAATATACGCCGAAACTCTTCTAAAGAAAGTATAAACATTGTTTGGTTAAATATTTTTCTTGATGTTCTAGTTTTTTATTTTTTCTCTGGGATTGCCACCACAAACCTGGAAAACTGATTCATCTGAATTTAATTTAATCTCGCGTCGTTACGTTACCCATGAAAATGTCCAAGGTGCTTGATCATTCTGACTCCTGTAGAAAATAATAATATTTATACTTGTTAATTATTGTAACAAATGGTTTTAATGTTGGTTTTCAATAAGTTCAGCAGAAATAACTAAGTCATGTCACCTGTCTATCAGTTATAGTATATGCTCGTTCGATAGTATCTCATTGTTACAAATATTTTTTATTAATAAAATATTTTGTGTTTGATCATCACCTTTGTTTTTACAGTGGAATATTTATTCTATATTTTTGCTATAGCCATTCTCTCTGGTATGTTGGTAGGTAACTAAATATAAATATTAAAAACAATTCAGACAAAAACCTGACTTGCATTATTTTCCACAGCCTGAGATTCAAGAAGTAAATATTTCTGCTTATTTAATCGGTTTACTGGTCACAGTTCGTATATGGACTTGACATTATTGGTTTTTATACTGGCATCTTGATTTATTTTTGTCCTGAGCAATATTGTAATAATATTTTATTTTACAATTACTTGACAACATGTTTCAACTTCACAATTCATACTGGAATTAATACATTCAAATTTGTAATTGATGTAGTTTTATATGGAACTTCACAATAATTTGTTCACTTTTAGGGTATCATGTTTATTTATACCCATATATGTATTATTAAAATTAATAGTTAAACCATTTTTAGGTTGGAGTTCATTTTTCAGGAATAACTATTTAGAATAATTAATATATTTTATTACAAATACATTTACAAAATAAAATTAATAATCATTTTATTTTTATTATCTATTCACATTTGTACTAATTCATATTAATCACCTTCGGCCATTTGAACATTTTTCTTCAGATTATTTTCCCAATAAATTATAAATTAGCGTAAGATAAATTAGATAAATTATGTTCCCTACAATACGTAGTAATACACTGTATTAGAATAAAATATAAAATAGGTAACCAATTAAGTATCAAAAACCAGAAATAACTAATGAGAAGGTATTAATAGCTGCAATGAATATGCTAGGTAGTGCCTATAAGGGTTCTATATCTACAAGATGATGACATGTACAACTCGTTCGATCAACCATAACATAGTAACATGTACAGTGGTTATAAGTGTTATAACTTTATAAGCGTTTAGAAAGATACAACTGGTTGTCAGAGCACCTGTTGAGGTTAACTCATTGTGGCTAATTAAATTACTATGAACAATAGCTTTTTTATACTCCTTAGATTTGATATGTTTGGTTTGGTTCTTAATTTTTATAATAATACCCACTGTTTATTATGATGTCCAAATATGACGTGTTACATTGATTTGTTAATGCTTTATGCCCGAATTAAACTCTGTTCGAAAATTATTTCTTAAAACATGGGGATTGATTTTGAAATATTATAATATATATTTTTTATCTTTGAATCCGTTTCAATTTGTTATGCACACATATTTAGTTTATCGTAAATTATGATGGTAATATTACAAGAGTATCGATTAATATTCAATAATTAAATAAATGTACATATCAGGTGTATATATTTTATGTTAGTGACACAGCATGAAAAAGATTAAGTATATCTACGTTTGTTGAATGATCTCGTTAGTGGTTTATTTTCCTTCATCGTCGGCACGTAGGTATACGTCATGTATAGTTATTCGTATGATGTTTATTATAAACATATTGTAATATCTAAAATGCATTTATATACCTTGGTTGTGATAATTATTGCTACTATCTGCGATACGATGTTATCATGTATGTTATGATGTTTTGATAGTATCAGAGCATTAGTTCGTTGACGTATAATATTCTGACAAATCTATGTATTATGCTGTATCGTAAAATATCCCGTGTAATCGTATTGGACTAGAGAGCCTTAATTATTGAAATTGATTTAACCTATTAGCAAGGCTCCCAATATTGAATTGGCTATAAAATATCATTTCATCTATTTATTTAAATGTTAAACATATCGTGCAAATATTTTATACTACACTTATTTATGAAACTAACCAATGTATAAAATATAATAATATAATATTTTCTTGTTGTACGTCTCCAAGTCAACTTACCGCTTTTCGCATCTAACTAGGACATCCTCGTTTATTTTCATATGCTATAAAGTATAGTGTGATGTGTCTCATCAGAATGATGTCCTCTTTGCCCACATTTGTAAAAATGCATTGTTCTGTCTGAATCACGCTTTTTTATTATATGTATCATTCGTTAAGTTTATTTTTATTGTGTGATGAAAATATGAGATAACACGAACAATTATTTCTTTCAATTTCTTCAAAATGTATTATGTACAATTAATATCATCTTTGTACATATTTTTTATTCAACTGTCCACGTTTATATTTGCTATAAAGCTCATTATATATTCTATTTTTCATTGATGTCTACTCTCTAATTTAGATTTAACAATTGTAATGTAACCAATTGGTTGAAAATCGTCGAGAAATATCTGTATAATATGAGACGACGTCTAATCAATGAATTCGTCATTAAGTTCGCCAAGAATATAATAATAGCTGTAAGTTTTAGGAATAAAAATACAAATTGTTCTTTATTTTTATCGTTCCTTTACTTTCTAGTATTTTGTAAAATAGTTACGCACATCATATTCTAAGGAAAAAGTTTCTGCTTTTATCATTAAATTATGTTTGATATTTGCGTGAATGCCATTGCACTGCTCTAGTAACAATCTTGAACAGCGCACCCGTGGCAAGCTAAGTATTTATTTATGGCCCTCCCGAATATATTGTACTGATAACATTTGGTTGAAATTATTCATAAAAGTATTTGTGTCCGGCATCCTCAGAACGATAACTACATACAATAAACTTTTAAAATTCTACAGTAGATATACACTGACGGATCGCAATAAATGTGTAGGTACTAATACGAAAAATAATAATCTGTAATGAATTTGTATTAATTATTTTTTTTTTTAATTTTGCTGACTAATATAACCGAATATTTACTTACATTGAATTTATAAATTTACCCTATCGCTAAAAAAAGGTATGAGCCTACTGATCAGGAGGAATTATACCTTCTAATTTTGATGTTAGCCACTTAGCCAGAATATGAACTGTGAACAGTTATATTTGTTCTAATAATTTTAAATGTATTTTTTTTTTCAAAAATCTGTTTTATCTCTTCTAGAGTTAAATTGCATGTACAATAATAACATAACAGTTACAATAATGAGAGACTGGACCTACCTGAACCTATCTTCGGCATTGGTGTACCTAAATCACCTATCCAAAACGCCGTGTTATCATAACGTGTTTTTCATTATTTTACATAGGTACCTAATTTAAGTTACCTACATTGAGTGTGTTTACTGTTGAATATTATGCAACAGTGAATAGATATCTGGAGTATCTGAGGTGTTCACCATAACTTCTGCAACCATATTTGTATTATCGAAATATGCCATTGTATTAAATATATAAAATGTAATATTAGCATATTTAATTTTAAAAAATGCACAAAACGCTAAATAAGTTGACAAAATTCAATTTCCAGATAAACAAACGTGCCGGTAATATTATTTGTATAAATAGTTAATAACTCATAGAGTTCACGGTTTATTACATTTCCATAATAATTGAATTTATTGAATATTGTAAAATATTATCCTTTGAAAAAAATAAAGCAATTTAAATGACACAAAAATTGATTATTTTAATACGAAATAAAATAACTAAGAGTGCTTCCTTTAACCTACACTACAAACATTTTGACGTCATGCAAATAATAGAAAAATAAAAAATGTATATTTACATTTTTTTTTTGTATTTACAGTTGTATAATTACATAACGGCCAGTCGGAAGAGTGAACTGACTGAACTTGTTTTATATGACGCCGAGTTCGGGTTTGGCCATCAGTTTATTTGTCGGGATAAGGAAATTGAAAAAAAGATTCAGTGAGTATCACCTGCACTACTTTGATTTAAAACAGTCACTCATCAACTTTTTATAGCATTGCGTGACAGTTTTTAATCGTCTCATATCATGCAATATTTAAGAGATATTTTATAGAGCAAACCATTCAAACTAATTATTCGGGTTTTGGGTGCTGTGTATATGATTTGAGGGTATTTAAATATTTAAATTAAATACAAATGTTATCAAACATTTGGGTGCTCGTTATCGATATTATTCATAGGTTGGTACAAGCGTTAATTAGTACATGAACAACTTCCCCTGAAAACTAAGTAAGTATAAAATTCAAAGGATTTGTTTTCGAATGTTATTTTGAACCATAAAATGTTTTGTGAACAATGATTGTTGTTATTGCAATATGTCCATTTAGATAGTTTTCTAGTCGCGTCAAATATTCAATAATGTATTATTATTGAAAACCAACTACAACTAAAAAATCGAATTAACCACCCAAAACACATAAAAAAAGGCATCATATAAAATCTAATGACATTTTTATAATAAACAATGTTAACGGATTTGGGTCAGCCCGAATGTTTTTTTGGTTTGAGTTAACTCGGGTGCTTGGAAAAAAAAATCATTCACGGGTTATGATGTACGGGTTTTGGGTGTACTATAGCTGTTCTCTAAGCGTTATTGTGGGTGTTAGGGCTCCAGTAAATTCAGACACTATACATCATTGGTATTTTATCTCTCTTGCAATAATTTAACACGTACTTTTACGTTTTTATTATTTTCAGGAAATTTATACAGAATTGTCTAAAAATAACATCTTGATCGGCGAAAATACAATATAAGCTCGTCAAAATTGCTAAGTGTCACGTATACATAGTTATTACAACATAATATACAAAATATTATATGTACACTGTAATACAAACGTCTCAGTTTTGTATCGGATTATTGAGATTATGAGATTATTTATTATCTTTTTTGTAAATTGTATCGTTGTTAAATATTCTTTATTGTAAGACATTTCAACAACGTATTTTTATAAGAACTCAATTTTAACTATTATCATATTTATAATAATATGTTATGCTCATTGTGGCCAATAGTTATAATATCATAGTTGTTTTGTTCTTAAAAATATATCTCGTTGAATACATTAATTATAAGTGAATGCTTAAGAAAATGGGGAAAAAATGTTCGAATTGTGTATTTGAATTTATCCCCAGTGTTATATTAATGTAACAAAAATTACACCAACACTTTGTACTACCTACTCTTGGAAATCAGATCAGGATATAATACAATAACAGTTATTATTATTACTTTACAGTTTTAATTGAGTTTCTCAAGTAGCGAAATGTTGTAACTGCAGACGACATTAATAATAATAATAATAACGATTGTTATTATTATTATTATTACTATTGATTACCTGTTTATTGTAAATTACCTACAACTTGTTTTATATAGAATAAACTAATTTAGATAACACAAATTGTAATAAATTCTACACAAAAGTTTAAACAAAATAGGTCTAAGTGTAGAAGTTTAAACGTGTTATTGAAAACTCTAATGTCAATTTATTAACCTGGGACACGGTGTCAATCAAACGGAGCTCACATTCCTTTAATCTCCTATGCGGTATAATATTAATTGGTCTGAGTTGGCAGACGGTGGTGTATTGCTTGGATTTTTTATTATGTTTGTTATATATTTACATATTATTAATTAATGTGTAAATATAAATATGGATACATGTTATAATGAAAATTACACACACACGTTTAAATATAGGATTTGCACTCAAGGGAACGTAAAAAATTAAAACGTGCATTTTTATGTAATTTGTTATGTTACTAGGTTGGTACTTTATAATTTAAAAAAAAAACAATTTTATTACAATAGAGTTACGGTGTCCATGCTCAGGTTAAAATTACCCTATATATTATCAATTAAAATATAATATGAACCGTTCCAATGTAATATGTTATACGTAGTTTAACTATTAGCAATATTCAAATTGATTATAGGTAACAAATTATACATACAGGTACAAAGCAAATAATGAATGGGCCTCACGCCTTTTAATATAGGCAATAGGTCGTAGTTACAATAATGTGTCATTGTATTATTCTACCGTCACCGTATAAGAATAATATGCGATCGCTGTGATCTTCGAGCGAGTGTTAAAATGATTGATATCAAACAAACCTAATATGCCAAAAATAAGCATTCATATCATCACTGAACATGCGGTTTTTGGTCAAGAAACTAACATACTATTTTAATCAGGTGCGAAAAGAGATGCAAGATATTGAGGTGAACAATATGGTGTCTACCAGCCGTGTTGGTCCATCGGATTTTTCGTTCAATTCCGAATCCACAAGTATAATGTCAATGGTTAAAATAACGAACCTGCTGCAGTTGACGCAATATTGGCTTCCAATTTTTTTCACGTTTCAATTCAATGTATTTACATATATTCAAAAAATTATACACACGTGACGGTTGTATGCATTTCCCATTGTTTTATAACGCCGTTCAGAAGTATCTCTGCGTACCTATACTTTGATATAGTGTACTCGTAACTAGTAAGTATGAGCTGTTACATCAACCGTGTCGAAAACATTGTGTGTAACTATATATTTTATGTCCACAAAATTACTATTAAAATAAGACGTTACAAACTAACATCTAATCATTTAACAGGAGGACGCTTTTTTAAGAATCCATCAGCAACAATAAAATTGTAGGATAGGTATTAAAAGTCTTATTAATATTATAGCTACTGTAATTATTTTATCCCCATAATACATTTGATCATTTTAAACACTGTCAGTCTATAGCTACCTACTACACGTCATGATATTGGCAGAACCCCAACATGTACGAATACCTCGTTATAGCCATGATTATCAAAACCATTCACCTACATGATACTAGAGTGATTTCACATCGATAAATATGGCGAAAATAGCCATGTAAAATGACATCGTACCGGAGAACAACGGAACAGTTTCGTTGTCATAATGTTGTCACAAATCGTGATGAAGGCAAATCACGATGATATTATAATATAAATGTTTTTTTTTTTATATTGTAATTTCAACTTAATTTCGACTTTTTGACTTTTATTTTCGAAAAGTTTGACATTTAAAATGTAAATATTCACAGAATTATAAATTTTTCGCACAGCATGGCAGAATCGAATAAATGCTTTAAATTGCTAAAAATGCTTGTAGTTTGGGAAGAGGGTGCTCCACACCCCATAATTTATTCAGTCAACCTTAGCGCCATATTTTTCTTTTATTATTCAATTGTTTAGCTATTAATTTAGTTTTTACTTTTACAAATGAAAAACGATTAACAATATAGATATAGATCCTCTTAAAATACCAGAAAGAAGACATTTATGACCTGTAGGAGGCGCTGGCTTAATAAAATCTTCGAACTATTTGTAAACTTATACTAAAACACGAAAATGTGGTTATAGACATAAAAAATACTCATTTTTGTAAAACCAATACATTTAACTCTTCGCTCAAAATCTTAAAATATTATTTATATTACATAAAATATTTTGAAAAAAAATTTAAAAAATTTAAAAAATAAAAAAAAATAATAATTTTGCGGGAAAAAATGTGAATAAAAAAAAAAATTTTAAAAATTTAAAAAAATATTTTGAAAATAATTTTAGAGTTTTTTTAAATCTCACCAATTTAATATTTTGATATTTCATAATATACTTTCTACTTAGAAACTATTTAAATAACAAACCTAAGATGCGTTGATGTGTTAAACAATTAAAGTATTGATAGTACTGATAATTTCCTCATTAGAAATTATTACACGTTTATAACTTATTATAATAATAATATTTACTATTACTTAAGCGTATATTATACTGTTATACGTATTATTTACATAATATAATACACTAATACACTATAATATAGTGACTATATATTATATATTATATTTTAACAGAACATTTAATGAAACAATTTCCACATCATAATAAACTTCAAATTATTAACAAAACATTTTCTTGACTAGTAATATAATAAAGAGGCAAAGCTCGCATGTTGGTCTGTAGATTAAGTAATCTTTAGAACTACCTAATGAACCAAATTCTAACATTTTTTTCACCAGTAGAAAGCTACGTGATTCCTAAGTGGTATAGGCTACCTGTTGTCACGGAAACTAAACTTTAAAAGGATGAGATCGGGGTAAAATGGTAATAAACTGGTGGCGCCATCTGTTGGATTAAGTGAAAACGACAAACTTGGTATAACTTTGATACTTTTGTAACTTGTACATTTACGTACTCACCTCGCAGGGTCCTCAATCTACCACGTGTAGATTTCCTATCTGATAACATACTGCTCGCATAATCACAAGCGAGTCTCACTTGCAACACCTGGCGAAGATGGCCACGATTTAAAATATGACGATTTATACTTGAAAATACATTGTTTCCATGGCGAGTTACACTCAAGAGAAGTTGGACGACCACAATTTTTTCTGTGCAGGTCGGAGGAGATAGCTAGTATAATATAAGTATTTCAATTTTGAAAACGTTATTTACGGACAACGTTATTATGTGCAACTTGCAAGATGTCAAAATAAATTCCTAAGAATTAAAATAAAATAAAGGAGAATAAACCATATATGCTAACCACTATGTTTTCAATTGTCATTACAATTTATTGTAGGTATACAAAAATCAACTTATACCTTCTACCAAAAGATTAGTTGTCACGAGTGCAACCAAAAATCATTGTTGTGGGAAGGCGGTAGTCATATTCTGGTTAAAAGAACCAAACATTTTTTTCTGTGAATGTAAATCACAAAGTATTGCAATAAATTTAAACAATCAATGATTCACTCTTTATTGCTTTTACAAGTACTTTTATTTTCGTTGTTCGTTTATGGAATTGTCACTATCCTCTAATAAGTTCGATTACTATGACAGTATATAATCACCGTAGGCGTCGTTGTTGTTCTCTGGAATCATATTCATAAGCTTTTTAATTTAGGCCATTTGGTAGCAAAATCAATAAGTTTATCGGTTCTGTTTCCCATAAGTTAGACTAGAAACAAATGTGTTTAAATGAAAATGAATTTGGTAAGTTGCTCTGATATATTAACTAAATTAAAATGATTAAAATGTTGAATTGAAGCAAAATTCGATGCATATAAATTTTCATAAATTACATATATTTTTATAATTACGAACATTATTATCAATATCAACCTGAACAAAGCTACTGACCATAGCTAATATCATAAGACATAAGAATTATTCTTATATTGTGTATGATTGCAACCCATAGAGCAATGATGTATTGATGTTTATGATGCGACCGCTAGCAGATGGAAGAACGTGTAAATTTTATGTTAATTATTATCATATCAAATGAATAATAATAATCTATTTTTACAAAACCGTTAGTGGCCTAAAACATAAAAATAAGCAGGTGGCCCATTGGCCTGGCTCGATATTCTGCCAGCCCAATCTGGGCCTGTTAGTACTCAATTAATATTTATGCAATTACATATAATTACAAATAATATCCTAAATCTCAATTCACAACTATAAGGAACTGTGCATTTGCACTAACGGACTAAATATTACTAAACAGCATTTGTTTTTTAATGGAAGGTATTAATTACTAAACATATGTGAACATAACTCTCAAATAATGACATACACATTGGAATATTCACTCTTATAGATTTATTCAATAATATTTATCAATTATATCATAATAATATTATAGGTTAAGGGCTACCCTTTAATAGCCTTAAATATTAATATTTTACTACTAAGTAGGTAGGTAACTATTATTTACACTTTACCTACTTCTATTTTATTTTACTATCCACTAGATATACTTAAAAATTAATAATTAAAACTAATAATAATAATTATAATGATAAAAAAAATACATATTATAATAATAAAAGAAGTAGCAGTAATAGTATTACATTATTAACAACAAAAAGTCTTTAGGTACACATAGATAAAAAAAAAAATAATTATTATTATTATTATTATATCTACTTATAATTTTTTTTATTATGATATTATTCAAAAGGTCCATAAATGTAAATAATAAAAAAGTAAAATACACATGTATAACAATCGGAATCGTTTTCATAATATTAAAATAAGTATATTATATAAAATTAAAATTAAAAAACTACAAACGACTCATGAAGAATTTATTTTTTAACGAGAAATACATAGGAGGGGGATAAATAGTTGAATAAAAAAACAATTAATATGTCCTTAATTCTAATATTTAGACATAATATATTTTTTCTTTTACAGTAGAATATAATATAATATTATGCTTCTATTACTATGGATGACACGGACAATTTAATAAAATATTATGTCCATATTTACTTTAATTGTACAAGTATTTGGATATAATAAAGATTATTTATTATGCAACTTTCTTTATACTGTTTCATAATCATGTTTTACATTCATTTTATAGATTTTAAAAAAAGGTGTGAATTGTATTCTGCCAGTTGATTTAAAAAACAGAACTATATGAGAAATGCATTATTATATTGATTTTAATGTAGCTTTTTTGAATTGCGATTTATTGTTAAACATAAAAATTCAAATATTATTCTGGAAAAGGTAGCTATGAGTGTCTTGACATTTATAAGTATTATGAAGTATAATATTCTACTTTAACGTAATATTATAATTTAATGTTTAATTTAATTATAAGAATAACATTCATAATAATAATGTGTATAATATACTCATAATAATTATATAATTTAACATTTAAAACATCAACACACTAATTATATTTCAAAATTGATTAAGTTTAATTTACGAAACTATTGTAACATATAATATTAATGACTTATATAATCGTAACAACTTAAATATCATTTAACATACTCTAATATAAGGTGATACAAAACCCCCTCCAAACATCTCACAAATATCGTTTTTAACCAATACTTAAAAAAAAAATGCAAATGATGATAACGTTATTATCATTAAAAACAATATTTTAGTAGGCCGTATTATTTTTATTTGAGAGTAATATGTTTGGGACAATTCAATTTATACTCGCATATGAAAAGCAATATGTTCTGATGAGTTTCAAATAATGTGTTTGAGCTAGTATATTATTGGGTAAGGAGACATTTTAATTTATGACCAACTGGAAATATTGAACAATTGAACTTTTGAGTACATATTATATATTATTAAAACGTCAAGGCAAGACAATATTATAATAAAACATTTTATAGCACAATTTTTAATACGTGATTTTTAATTTAAACAAAAATCAATTATTGAATTAATAATAATTTAAATGATACGGTTTGCTAAACTCAATCATACCAGAAGAATCTATGGCCAGTCCCAAGTAGGGTAAAATGAGAAGAAAAATAAATTAATAAAATATTGCTCAAACACATTATAGCTTAATATTATTAAAAAAAGACCGCCCAGATACATTACAATAATAATTTAAACTATTCCATCAAACACATTGCAATTTTCATAAACTCGCCCAATTTTAAATCAGCCATCAATTCATTTTCGATTTTTATCAAACCATTTCGTTTGACAATATTTCATATTTCATTTATTTTAAATTATAATTGCAAATCATATTATACATATTATAGTAATTCAATTTCTTTAAAATTATTATCAATGCCGATTAAAGACACCACTCGATCCTTACGTTATCTATGACAATTATAGTTTAGCACAAAGCTCATATTTTATTCAAGTTTATTCATGAAAATTGCCCATGTCTATATTGTGGCAAACATTTACAATTAAGTGTTTAAATTAATGTGGCCAACATTCCATTTAAGTAGTGTCGGTAGGTACCAGTAAAAAGTCGATTACAGATCATACACTTTTTCGCTACAAATTTAATGTGTCCTCTATGCAGTATAATATTCATAAACTTATGTTGTTGGTGGTCGTTACGACATGAGTACTATGTTCCTATGCTTATTTATAAAATAACTAAAGCTCTAGTTTAGACTACTGCCATCTATATAATCCTATAATAATACTTATGTGATAATGATGATCATATGTATAGTATATCCGTGAACAATAATATGTGTACTTAAAATACTGTTCGTGAAGTGCGATTCCTTAAAACTAATTTAAATACATAAAACAGTTATGTGTATAATAATAATATTATTGTGTTGGAAATAATTTTATGAGAAATATATTTTAAAGTACATCAAATGGCATTCTAAATATGTCATCTAAAATCATGAACCTCGGGAGTTATGGGAATAATATTAGTACATTTACTTCAAAATCCAGTTATTTAAGGTAGGGTACTAAAAAATAATAATTTCTTAACCATATTCAATATATATGTATATTATTAGGTAGGTACGCGTGTCAAATAAAAATATTGTTTTTTATTGAAAACAAGCGCTAGAAATAACATATTTCAGTGTTTATATAATATATTTGAAAAGCAATTTAAAATTATAATTATATTTTCAAGACAGCGAAATATCTAAACTCTATATTGAATGGCCAGAGAATAAAAACCGCTATCACTCATGTACATTTATAAATTTAAACTGCTACATTTTTTAAATTATTTAGGATAGAATATTTAAGAACATTCACATTAAATATATTAAAAATATTGATGAAGACAAAGAATGAATATTGTATTATGTTTATTCAACACCTTTAGTTTGTGGATAATTTGGCACGTTTTTCTGATATTTTTTCGACTTTTTATTATCATATAAAAAACACAATTAATCTGAGAAAGTTACATTTTTAAGTAACCCTCTTCTATAGAAAACCGTATTTATAACAGTTTATAGGTGTTAAGAAATAACTTGAAACCATGCTACTACGGAAGTTGGCTTTAAATATTGTGTCATATCGGTGTAACAGTTAGTACTTAAATGCATATTATTTACACATTGTGTATCTTATTTTTAATTAAAAATAACGTAATCACTAACAAGAAAAATACTACGGGGATTTGTTTTACCGATAAAATTGAAAATTTTAGTTTGTTTCTCAATTATTTTGTAGTGGGTCTATATAATATATAAATATAATATATGACGCGCACATCATCGCTACACTAAAGTGGACATACATTCATAATATAGGTAAGCAAACTAAGTAATTGTACAGAAAAAAACATGTTTATTGTTTTTATGTGATTGGAAACCAATATTATTGAAGGTTATCGTGAATAAAAATTTGAAAATTAGGTTGGGACATTCAATAGTAATTGAAAAATGTCTTCTAACACTAAATTTCTTTGGCAGAAAGAAACTGTGGCATTTAACACATAGTATATAATTTTATCGACTCCACTGAAATGTTTGACGTTAGGTCACTTAACTATTTATAAACTCTAATGAGAAAATCATACTAAAGATACTAGAAATAGGTGTCTGTGTACATTATCTGATTATCATAGTTTAAAAATTAAATAATTTTTTTTCCAATAATGCCCATTTATTTTTACTGAATAGATTGTTATATATTCTAATCTATGATGCGTGTTTGTTTTTCTAAGTTTAAATTAAAATGTGTGTTTGTTTTTTTTATAATTCTTAACTTTGGGATTGAATCTAATTCATTGGGAGTTTCAAAAGTATAGATTTAGATTGGAAGGTTAATTATTGTTCTAAATTATGTGTTTTTTTTTATTTCTGTGGATGATAAATTATTATTTACCTAGTTTATACTATCCAATCGCAGTGGTAAAAGCAGTGGCATATTCACTCATTCTCTCCCCTCCTATTGTTTCATTTAAAGTAAAATTTTCAAATTTATAGAGATGAATTTTAAGCAAATAATAGTTAAATAGTTAAATTTAAAAACTGCAATACCCCCCTGGTTGATTTTTTGCTTGCCCTGAATTACAGTATATTCATGCCACTGCTTTGATAATGATTGTAGGCTTTTAGGGGATTTAAACAATGGTGTTAAATGCGAAGTACAGGGTGGTGAAGAAGACGAATATGATGACGTTGTAACTGCGTTTGGTGAATCCGTTGTATGAAGAAGTTGAGCCAAGATCACGAGCTTCGGCATCTGAAAAATAAACGTATATCACTGCTGTGAGTAATGTGGCTCAATATATACAATACACCTATTTATACATCATTATAATATAAGGTGTTAAGGATAAAATGACACGGGGCAAACACCATACGGAATATAAACAATTTCAGGGTGCATAATATGCGTTCACACAAATCACTTTGTTTCTATCAGTAAAACGCTGGTCGGGTGGGTAGTGAACAAAAAAAAAATATATATAATATGATAACAATAATCGTAATAATAATAATAATAAAAATACAATATAATATAAGAAATACACACTTGATGTCATTGAAATACCATAGGATGCTTGATATTTTGGATTCGATTCTACTCATGCCAGCCAATGAAAAAAAAAAATAATAATAATAAAAACCATGCAAAGATGAAAAAATAAAAAATAAAATAAAATACAAATATATCCTGTGTTTGTGTATATAATATAATAATATTAAAGTCAGTGTTAGAGGAGTGAATTGGTTGTGAGTAATATGCTGCCATTTGAATAATTCGGTTATGTCATGAGTTATGTGTTCTTTATCTCAGACCCATCGGTCGGCCGCCGTAATAGTGCTCGGTAATTAAACAATTAATACACGTCAAACATTTTTTTTAATTTTATTTTTCGTATATGTGTGGTATTGCATAAAATCAAGCAATTAGTAGTTTTTCATGCAAACACGCCATATTATACATATATGTTTGTGTGTATTATTTTTTTAACTACCTAATAAATTAAAAAATAAATAAACACACATTCACAAACATAGGTAGGTAGGTACATTCAAAACGCTTATATAGCATGCAATTGTGTTACGCATCATAAACTAAAAACTGAGAGTTTGAATAATTATTAATCCAAATAAAATTATATGCGAAATATTATTAGAAAATTTCTAGAACATCTGAATCGATGTAATGACAATTAATATAGAGTTCGCAATATTAAGTGAATACTAACATATTGATTTTTATTTATTCATAGGAAATAAAAAAATAATTGTTGATATAGTAAAATATAACTCTAAAGTATTTGCCAAAAATAATATGAAAAGCGTTTGTTCGAATGTTTTGTACGAATATCACATATTTTTACAATCGGTACCTAATAAAATACGTAGTTATATTTAAGGGTCGAGTTCAATTTATTTTTGTTTCATTAACATGACTATATTTTACGACTCTAATTCAAAACACGACATTTCTATATTATATTATAAAATACGTGAGCATCCTAGGTCAAAAAACATCAAATGAAAAAAAAAAATATATCCTTCCCTTTAGTTGTTCTGTAATGTAAGCAATTTTATCCGAGCAAAAGACTTCGAGGCAGTAATAATATTGTTACACGAGAAGAAGTTTTTGAATCGTCTTTCTACCTCCGACCGAATGTATTCTCCCTAGACGTGCAGTATTACTCTCTACAATATGGAGATCAGTCACCCCACAGAATATGCAGGGCGCTCTGGTGGTGAATTTTTACGCACACCCTTAGCCGAGATATACTGTCTTATGCACACAGAGTGCGCAAGAAGGAACATTTAAAAATGGCGAGATATTTTTTGAGTAGAAAACCCGGTGTCGAAATATTTGTTGAACTCGACAATTACAATACTCTGACAGTTGCCATCTCAATTCGGGTAGTTCCTAACTGAATTTTGCAACTGAATCGCGTATGGGTGGCAAAGGTAATATTCGTCTATAGAAATTAGTACACGATGCATAATATTTTCAATTGAAAAAAAATTAAAATTGTCTACTACCTGCATTTTAATTGTCAACGCGTTAGGGTGAAATATGAATCGAATTTGATTTTTTTTTTTTTGTTGTTGATCGATCTTATAGCAGTCATGATTGTATTTAAACAGTGGTCGGCGTCAGAATAATAATTACGTTCAAAATAATATAACAATTACACGAGCTCGCATTTACTACATACTTGTACGCACTGTTGAATTGTTCACTATTGAATTCAACACTACGGTGAACAGTGGTGATGTTTTTCTGTTTCGTTTGATTTTTTTTTTTTTTTTTAATAAAATAAAAAGTAGGTATTTATTAGTCGCCGAGAATGACTTGTGCTCTTACCGATTTCTGGAGTGGCGGAGGTGACGAATTTGAATACATCGGACATCGGGGTCCAGCCGAATCGGTTTTTGGCCATGACTTTGGCCTCGTATTCAGAGGCGGTGTCCAATCCACGGATATTGTATGACATGCGGTGGGTGAATTGTTCGCTGGGAACGGCCGGAAGGATCACATCGTTCCACTCGTTGCGCATGCTGTTGTAGCCGTAAATCGGACTGTTGCCGTATCCCTCGTTGTCCTGAAAACGCACCGAGTTTACAACATGGTCGACGACGGCGATCGATTTCGCGGCATTTTATCATGACGCGAAAACATAATCTATAATAGTTCCGATTTCGGTTTTACGACACTGTCGTTTCACTCACGTTTCGAGTGGGCGGCTTCTTCGGCCACTGGTATTGGGTTCGAGTGTCGGCGGGGGACTCGTCCGGAAGCGGAACTTTCCTGTAGAACAATTTGAACTCTTCGATGGGAGTGTAGCTGTCCACCGACCACGATATGTTGTAATTGTTCTGGTGCCGTCCGTTTTTGCTGCTGTTTATCTTCACGGGATTTGGTTTTCCTACATTGACACCCAAATGTACATGTTAATATAATAGCACACGATATTTTGGTATAGACATTTATTTATATTAGAAATACCCTTAGGTAGACACTTATTTAGGAGCAAACAACATATTAATATATACATCGAAAACAATAGTAACACGTATTATCTTACTTATATGTTTTGCATTGGTTCACACCTGGGTATATTTTTAGACAATAAAAATAATACAACTATGTTTTAATCGGTTATTTGTGTTCACCTGAAAGTTCGACGTAAGCCCTGCTCTTTCCGACGACGTTGTCAGCCACGCAGCTGTAATTTCCGAAATCACTTGCCTGCACTTTTCTCACTATTAAGGTGTGTCTGCTTCCTCTAACTTCAGTAATGCGACGTTCGTTCGTGTCTAACTTCAATGTATCTCTATACCAAGACACCTGTGAAAAAACGTACACAATTAAACGTCAAAATTACAACTAAAATCGCAACAAAACATCGTAAGTCTTAATTTAATTTTTTTTTAAATTTAATCGCAATGGTAATACAGTAATTCAAAAGGCAGCCATTGTTACTGATACCCGTAAATTTTTAACGTAATAAAAAAACATTTTATACCGTACGTATGTAATGCAATACATAGTATATAATTTACTTTTAATCGTATCATTACAAAAATAAAGCTTAAAATACACACTAACCAGAACTCGTATTAATATTCGCAACAACTAATTTGTATTTACAAACCGTGGTACATAAGTTATATATAATTATGTACTATATATTCAGTGTAATAATAATATATTATGCTTGCATTTTTGACCATGTCAAACAAATTGTTTTTCCGCGCCCGCTTGGCCACGAGGAAAAAGTAAGGATGGTCTGTCCTCTCAACCAAACACTTAAAGAGCACAGAATGCAAGTACGTTTGCAGTCAGCTTTCGACACACTCGCTATCATTAGTAATTAAAATTTCATAACCCAACCCCATGTTACTTTTTTCTCGTCTCAGTTACACCTTAGCTGACATAAAAACAAACATTCAGAAATCACATCGTGAACCATGTAAGAAAACCATCACCCGTAGAGGGTACAGAACACTTCACCCATCTGTCATCCACGTCGACAGCGACTTAATCGCTATTCCATGCGTTTTCGTTCAATATAATTAATTTAATGTCGATCAACTTATTTCAAATATACGTATAGTAGGTACCTATATATAATCCAACCGACCATACTTATTATCTCGGGCCCAACGCATATAATATAAATTCGAAATTTGATATTCAGTTGAGCTCGATCGTAGAATACTACAAATCACGTACTAAGCATATTCTCAGTGCTTCGAGATTTATTCATTCGATAAACACTCAGCTTTATCTCAATTTCAATTTCAATATTATATTTCTGAGTAAGACGAACTATTAAAATATTTTAGCATTTGAATATCAAGTGATTATCGAGGCTTTACAGATTAATTTATGTTGTTTGTAAAGTGGCATGTATCAATAAGTTACGGTGCCTTTGACTCCTCGCTAAAACCAGGTTTCTCGTTATCGTGGCCCATACACTTAATTTGTTTTATACATGTTATTACAATCACTACAACTACCTCTTAAGATTAATTGTTTTAATCATCAAAGTACATTTTAACGAATAAAAACCAATTGTAGGAGTAACACATATTATTATGTCAAAGTAGAAACATCGATGATCGATTTAAATCCGATATAGACATAAATCCCTAGGAAGCAGTAAAAAAGCAAGTAACTATAAACATAATATTGTTCATAAAAAAAAAATTCAAATTATATTATACGTGTGCCTTCAAAACATATAAATATATCTACACATATCATAAATCGCACTACAAATATAATAGTATAATATAAAAATATTACCCTAATGATGCCTACATTAGCTACTACCATAAAATTGGTCAGAACAGAAGACCGCCAGGTTCCTCGTCGTTTTCGGACGTTTAGTGTTGGACGTCAGACCTTTCCGGTTACACATACCTACCCGTATTTAACACGCACCAATCATTGGAATATCACAAAAAAATAAAAACTGTATTATTCGTTTCTGTCCCTCTCATAATAATTATCATATTATTTTCCCCGTCTAAGCTTTTACTTTACTAACACAAAAATCGATCCACACAAAAAAATATTCTTTTAAAATAATATGTATTATGACTCACAGAAGTTGATTAGTATATTATTCTAAAAAAAAAAAAAACATAAATTCACGACGAAGGCCCGGTATTCACGAATGACGCGTTTGAAAATAATTATGACTAGACTGTAGGTAAGCATTAAAAAAAGGTTGAAAAATGTCAGCAAATGTATAAATAGTGTGTGTGTGTGTGTGTGTGTGTGTGTGTGTGTGTGTGTGTGTGTGTGAACAGTATATATAGATACCTGATATGAAATATACTATGCGGTTCTCTTGTTGACGTCATAATTAATGTTCACAAGATAAACTACTGTCGTTTTTTCCCGGGGCTTTTTGTTCGCGAGAAAGTTTCCCGTGCATACGACGACAAACAGTGACAAATACCCGACGCGTGGTGATTTTCGACGACAAAATTCGTAATTTAAAGGTGGCCGGAAGGGACCAATTCACAATTTCCGAAAGTGAAGACGTACGGAAGACTGCTGTGCGCAACAATGAACGGCCGAGCAGAACTACTATGCGGCCGAGCACCGGCCTGTCAACACGCTAAATCCCCCTGAGGTATGTTGCAGTTATAGTATAGTTCGTTCGCTCTCTAATTGTCCTGCGAGTTTCGTCGAAAGTTTTCGACTTACGAGTTATAATACAAAGTAAAAAGCAGGTCCGTTTAACAATAATAATATTAAACGTGTACGATTATACGAATGTAAACAATTGCGGTAAATAAGTAGCGTGTGTGTGTGTGTGTGTGTGTGTCCAAGTCGTATAGGTTTTATTTTAAGTACACTGCAATAACAACAGCGAGACCAAACTGCATCTGAAAATCAATATTTTGACTTTTAATTTTTTTTTTTTTTTTCGATTGTAATAAATACAGGACTCTAATGGGTTTGCTAGAAAAATATCTGTTCTCGGTGATTAAACAGTATGATATAACGTAATAATAATACGTCGATGTGTTCGTGTCTGTCAGCTTTTTGTTGGCTGCGCACGTTAGATAATATTATATTAATTATTTCGGTGGCAGTAAAATCCTCGAGGTCAGACAAGTTCTAACGGGAAGTACAACGTCCAAGCGTCCAACTATCTAAACCGACGTCTACAATATACAAACCTCGGCTTGTCGCTCAAAATACTTTCGACATCGAGAGGTGTTGGATTGGTAAGGCACACAATGGACATTTCGTATTTGTCAACCAACCACAGAAATATATTAGTGAGTGATTTGAATAATATCAAACAGGGAGGGCAGTTTAATTATCAGCTGAAATGCCCTTTTACGACAAATGATATCGAGTGTTACATACCTGCTGAAAGTTAATTTCGATTATTTGCAAACAACGTTGTGCGTTTGTGTGTCTGGCTGACAAAGTGCTGTACCCCACTCAAAGTTTTAGAACTTATTTTTAAACACATATCGCCATGTTTGTCGTGGCCAGGTAACCACAAGTACATATTATTATCATCCGCCCACCCGGGTCTCCCACTTAAACTCTAAAACTAACATAACACTATTTGAATGGCCAATGCAAATTACTAATTGCACACTTAAAATAGTTGAATCCACGTAATAATACGCTTTAAATTGGATACATTGTAGCATTTTAATGGAGCTCACAAATAAAATTGATTTTTTGTTTTTTTGATTACCGACAATAGGTATAATTAATTATCAATATTTAAAAATTATACAATAATGAGGTAAACAAGACGGCAAAAAACTTTGCTGTACAAAAAAATATGGTAATTTAATCGTGTATAGGTACAATATATACGTTGCACGTATAAAGACAACATTTCAACAATTTTTTTTGGTTAACTGATTTTTATGATTCATACTAAAACTTAATCCATCTTTAATGACATCGCTGCGTATAGTTACATAGATATTAAAAATATAATATATTAACGTTTCAATTAAAATCTTTTAACTGAAATCATATTACGAGCTCCGTTATTAGTGTAAAAAAAAGATTCAAGCATCTAGTGTTAAATAAAATTCGATATCGTATGATTTCGTTCCAATATTATGGTATAATTATTTACCTCGGCATGTGGTTCAGCGTTGACAATGCAAACTAGAAGTGCTTCGTTTCCTTCGCCAGAATGAACCCATACGCGTTCAACTTCAATCTCCGGAGGATCTATAAATCGATTATGATTAATTTTCATACATTTTTAATGAACAGTTCACTGAATATTAATATTTGGTTCTTAAAAACCAATTGCAGTAGACACATCATAATAATATGGTTCAACAGCTATTAGTATTTTTATGATACTAAATGTATACGAGTATGACGATAATAGCGGTTTTAAAAATTAAATTTTGTTCCACAAGAGTTCACTGGTTTTCTTTTTTTTTTTTATCTCCGTAGTTTTATAATAATAACTTAAGCTGGAGTATAAACTATTTTCGTAGCGCAAGTGCCATCAAAAGTTGTCAGCTTATAATTGGATTTATTAAACAATAGGACTAGAAGATTCAGTATACTTATCTTTAATTGAGGACTATTTCAGAACAGGGACTCTTCGGGATGAGGATTTGTAATTAGATTCTTTTATGAACCGAACAATAATAATGTGTGTATTTGTGTGTGATGAAAAATAAAAGATAACAAAATAAAGTACCCTATCCCTTCGGGCTCTGCATCTAGGCCGTTCGAAATGTATAAATACTTTTACGGTGAAGGTGTAATCCTTTGCTTTTGCAGTAATAATAATACACACTTCATGCTCTCGTATTATTATTAAATTTGATATTTTTCAATATTATCATTGAGTATGATTAAAAGGAAATCGGGCTAGGTCGCTGCAGACGGTATACCTACACTGCCAATATCACGATACTAATGTAAATCATTATTTTTTTTTCTTATTCTTAAGTAGGCAGAAGGTTAAGTGCACGTGCATGGTGGATAATTAATTAATTCATCATTTTTACTACCTAGGCGTTTAATATATATATATATATATACACCTATACAACACATATATGAGCTAAACTAATGTCGATGATAATATTCAATGAACGAGTGGTATTAATATACGTATGCGTCATTATTTAGACGTACACGAGGGGAATGTGCACGGGAGTGGAATGTGCACAACCCTTATCATGTGCTTAGACAATGGTAATTTAATAAAATATGAGAATAAAGTGTATTCAACAGTCTGCGAATAATGAAAAATAAATAAAACGTACCATAATAATGATAATAATAATAATATGACTGCGTGTATATATAGACTATAATCTATCAACGCAACATTATCCTCGTATAATATGTTTTGTACGTCGATCGGGCTTAAGTCCGAAGAGTACTTGATTTATTTTATTGGTGCAAAATGTGAATTTTTAATAAATAATACTAGACATTTTTGAACCGACGTATTTATAAATTATTATAATTTATCGGTTGCAACGCTTTTTCAAAAATATTTATTCGCCAGTATATTATAATACAGACGAAAGTTCGGTAGGTACTTGCAGGTCATTACTTGCATTAACCTTATCGGTTATTATACTTATAACTTATAAGGTACCAACAAAATAATTTGTTTAGTCATAATTTAACAGCGCGTATATTGTGTAGGTATACCATTTTTATATAGCGAAAACGAAATAATGACAATAATGTAATTTATTTATATTGATATTATATATTATCTCGAATAGGTCGTACCCATATTTTATTGATTTTTCTCCTTCAAACTTATAAGTCTTTTAACAATTTTTATTTTAGTGAACGTCCAAACTTTAAGTGTTGCAATTTTTTTTTCTTTTCGTCTATATACAGATTGACAGAATAATAATATAATAATGTGTCAAGTACCCTACCTATTACGTAACAATAATGCGCGTTGTTACATTCGCGACAGTAGCTGGTACCTACGTATTTATTATGTAATGCTATGGGGGTTTTTTTTTAAATTTCGGAAAATCGAAAGTTTCTAGGTGTCAATAATTATAGCACCAAACGATAGGCACAGTTATAGTTATGTTTCGGGAAAAATGTCATATGTATAATATACTCACATAGAATGTTGACTGTAATAGTTTGTTCAGCAGGTTGTCCGACGTCGTTATAAGCCGTACATATGTACAATCCGGCATCGTGACGTGTGGCCGATTGAATTATGTATGTATCACCAGTTGCGTTTCTCTCGCCATTTGGAAGTACGTTGTTCTAAAGTGTTGAAACGGACATTAATGGATTACGATGGATATTTAGTAAAATATGAGAGACGTGTGGGGGAAAAAAACGATGACTATTGAAATGGATCTACGCCGGACAGTTTTATTGCGTGGTAGATATTTCTACGTTCAGTAAAATCAACGACATTTTATAAATAATGTTTCTCGAATCAGCAGAGAAGTATAATTTCGTTTATAATTTAATATCGAGCTCGCCGGTTTTATTTATGATAAATTCACTCAAAATTAATTGAGAGGAGCTTTAAATAATTATTCTCCAACGGATTTTACTGTTGTTAAAAACTTTTTAAACATTTCGATTTATATTGTGTTCAATCTGTACAATGCTTTTGTCATTATAACTATAGATCAATAATAAACTAACACAGTTTACAAATAATGATTGTTACTTTTATTAGTGCACTTATTCTTAAGTGTCTGTCTAGAGTGTCGACTATTCTGGAGAGAAATAATAACATTTTCAATTCATACGGAATAGTTATTGTTGAGTTAGAACTAGAGTTTTAACAATTATTGACATTTATAGTTCTATAATAAAAATTATAGTTGTATTAATTGTTAACTGAATCCAATATGCCATACCATAAAATATGTGTTGCCTAATCGTAATAATTAGTAATGTTAATAAATACTCAACTGATTATAATTATACAAGAATATGATATATTACCTTTCTTGTCCATGTTATATTAGGAACGGGGTTTCCGTCAGCTTCGCAGTTCAATTTGATCATGGAGTCCTTTTTAGTGTCAATATTTCCTCCTGACGTCACCGATTTAATTCGTGATGGAACTGTAACATGAACAATAAACATACATCAATATTGTTCGTTTAACATAACAATTTCCATAACAATATTATATAACCATAAGCAAACAAATACACCTCGAGACGTGTATGTAATACACGAATGTTTTTGAACAACTAAATTATTGCACACGAATGTGGTTAATTGGATCCGAAAAATCGTAGTCTTCTACAATTTAAGACCTACATTAGAACATGATTCGACAACAAATTAAGGAATAATTAGGCACTATCGACAAAATCACGTGTAACAGAAAAACCTTGTAATACGGTGTTTTTATGGGCTGCATTTTGTTTAATATTGTCCGAATAATATTGCTGTATGAAAAAATCAGGCTTTATAAAAAAAACAATGTAGATTCAATAATGATTCAAATAATTGGTCTGACCTAAATCGATGCTCAATAATTGTGAGACAGTCATAAAAACTGAGAAAAAAAATAGTGGAACATATTAGAAAATGACAAGATTTTGTAGAGATACCAAAGTGTTTCATTTTTTTATGTTATTTTATTTAATCCAACGCTTGTCAGTTGTTGTGTACTTGATTTTCTAGAGTAAAATTCTTTGAGCTTAAATTTTAATATGAAAAAGAATAAAAATAATTATTAAAAAAAAATTAGATTTTGACACAAGAAGTGTATAGTGTCACAATGATGTGTTTTTGTAATACAAAAATATAGGTCAGTTAAAATGTTCTAAAAGTTTCACAAATGTGCTTTTTTAGCTGTAAATGAATATAAATGGTGCATGGGCGTATCCAAAGTTTTATTTTGTTGGTGAACGAGAAGGGATAGGGGAGCTGATAAAAATAATGAAAATATACAACATAAGACATGAAATACCTATCGAAAAAAATCGACTTATAAAAAGGATATAATATTATATTTAATATATATATATTTATATATATATACCTAAAGGCATCGCAAGGTTAGAAACAAATGTCTTACTTCAGATTTTTAGAAAAATTTCGAATTTTATGAATTTTTTTTATTTTCCACTTTCTATATGATAAAACATAATTGTACCACTTCAACGTAGCTTAAATTCTAACCTAAATTCGATTGTCATATAATTTTTGTAATATTTTCGTCACCGACATTATTGTGGTTAGTAGTGTTGAGAATGTTAACATAATGTTACATTATGCTTGACAGATCATTTTAGTAAACCATTTTTTTTTTAGTGAACGAGTACATTATTTCGGTAAAACTATAATTAAATTCACTATAGGTTTAAAATGCAAGTAAAATATTTACGAATTTATAGTTTACATAATGTCTTTCTTGATACTTCAGAATTTGTATAAATATTTCAAACATACATTAAATTAAAATATGGTTTGACACTTAAATATACATTAAAAAGTAATGTTATGTTCTGAACATATATTATTGTTAACGGCATTTTATTGTCTGTTAGCCACACAGTACGTATTGATGAGAAATTTGATATTTCGTTTACTGAATACCTTAAATACGCAAGCTTTTATTTGCAAGAAATATATTTTGAGGAAAAAAATTAGCTCCTTCACGCACTCAAAAAAAAAGTACATAACCATTTAAATTATTATGTTCTTCTGAATAATTTAAAAAACAAAATTGTTTTGATCAGTCGGGTTTTAATTTATAATAAACTCATTATGGGTTCCACCAACAGAAGTTTAAAAACGGAGACTTATTTGTAATTTTGTTGAGTTAAATTAGAACGTATAACGAACGAATTTAATGATATGGTTTCTTAAAATATCTTATACAATATCATTACACGCTATCACTCATGAAAAGTCCACCGATCAGTACTATCGCCGTTTGTAGACTTATATTGTGGCGATAATCTGTGTTAGATTTTTTTACTTATTAGTTATTATGGAACATTAAAAAAAATTCAAACAACTCAATCAGCGAGTGTCAGTGTCCGGTATAACGCTGCGTCGGAGTTTTTGTACAACGCTTCGTTATTGTTACCACTTATTGTTACCGCGGTTGAGTTTTTCCCGTACAAAATTCAATATTTATTAAGCACACATTATAATAGAGGGACATTGTCGTATCGGAGCTATATAATAATTATCGAGTACTTACTTCGGATTTTTAAAGGCAAACGCTTTTGACGAAATATTTTCGGTTTTTGCAAGAAACAGAACCGTCCAGAACAACTATTCGTGTTATCGTGAAGTAATATTACGATCAAGGGCCCGCCGAAGTGTCGCAAAAAAAAATCTATATATTATCGAACGTGTGTAAGCCATTAGGGGCAAAACCAAGTTATATTATCTGCAGTGAATAGTGCGTTTCTCTATTCTGACTTAAGCGATTTAAACTTTCCTAAACTCGACTAAACGTGCTACCTATACCGAATGTGCGTACGAATAAGGCGATTGTAATATATTATTAACATTAATTGCGTTATCCGAGCGTTACGATATAGTATTCGGTATGAAAAAGGATCGCTCGGAGATCCGAAATCATAGATATTAGATGGAAACGATGTTAACAGTTTATTTCACCTAAATAATATATAAAACGTACCGATCGAAACCGTGGCATACACGAGTGTGCGATACAAAGGCAAATAAATCGAAATGAAATTAAAGTGAATAATATTAATTCATACGGTGATAATATGTATGCACATTTAGCATATTTTATTTGTCATTGTACATAAGTCGAGGCCGAGCAAACGTTGTTTTACTTGCAATGTGTCAATAGTTTTACCATCACGGTATATTCTCGAGTACAACAATTTAGGTTCTATTTTCCATACTACAATATTATGTACTTATTAATTAAATAAAATTGGCTTGCGCGAGCAAAGCAGATTGATTTGACGCTATATTTCGATGGTAACGCACACAATGGCGCCGAAGTCCTGGGGGCCCCATATATGTTGTACTAATTTTGGCGAAAATGAATTGTGAACCTATTTTTTATATATATATTTGACATTGATTTACACTCCAAATTAGGGCTCAATGACAGTTCGTATTGCACGGGGTACCTACTCAACTGCGGTGGAGCATATTGCGATTTTCAACTTTTGCTTTACAATCGTGCATATCTATCAATATTAAAGATCATTTTTCCGCCCTTGGAAGAACCTTCTCTCATCGAAGCTACTTCAGCCATTAATACAATATTACGACTAAACAAATTATATTCTTAGTTGTATATTACACATACCTAGGTCCAATAATTTAACAGATTTAATGGTGTCCATGTCGATTGTCCAGATACAAAAGTTTTATGTCGAAATCTCAATAAATATAGGAAAACAAAATATATAATATTAATCTACACACATTTAGTCTGTTATCGCATCTCGTCTTAACGTCAGAACTATATATTATATTCATTAAGTCGTAGACCATGTTACTTTTAGGTAAGTACTCGAGAGTACTGTAATGTGTATTATGTGTATTTTACGATCGCGACTTCAATTACTTAATATTTCGTCGATGACCTCTCGCACCGTCACCACTCCTTAAGTTTAGCATATTTTCCAAACATGACGACCCTCCTGCGACGGGTGTGTGTACTGTATAATATAATATGTAACGGAATATGGCTAGTTTCTTTTTTTTTTTTTTATATAAATAGCCGACGAACACTTGTAGATATTGTTATATTTAGAGAGTTTTAAAACGTGGGTCGGCCTAGCTCAAATCGTGCAGTGTCTGTGGGCACGTGTAATATATGTATATATATATATAAGTAAGTAATAAGTATATACGCGAGTGTATAAACTTTACGTGTTATTCGGTTGTCGGGACGACTAAGACAAAGACGCAGCCGCTGCCCCGCCACCTCCGCCGTCGGAGCCGCAACAACGTTTATCGTTAATTTTTCTCTGGAAAACTGCCAACAATGCCCCCTAAGGGATTATTATTTGAATAATGGTCTGTTGCACACGGGAGACGCGGTGTTTCAAAAGTGCTTTTCGTCTATCTCTTTTATTTTTGCCCCAAAGTCTGTGTGTGTGTGTGTGTTTTTGGTCCGTTCGGCCTGTTCGCTAACCACCGACATCACCCCGTTGACAAGATAGTCACTTTCGGCGGCGATTTGTTACCGAACAGACCTCTTGGCATTCGCGTCCGATTTATCTTTTAGTGACACACAATTTTTCTTCATCAAATTACCTCTACCGGCCTGCAGAAGTGCGGACCACCGAGCGCCACCATAGTTACATCCAACACGATATTATATAGGTGGGTACCTACTCACCTGCCTACCTATACCTACTGCGACGTAATAAATAATAATATCATATTGTTTGATACTAGAATATAATATTTTATAAATTATATAAATTATTATTTTTACGACCGCGTCAGCAGATGAAATATTTGATACCCGCGTAGCAAACGGCAATCGGTAACCGCACTAACCCAAGGCCCATTAGTCCCGTTATGCTTCCTAACAACGATCCGTTGTTATCGCGCCGACACCTTTTAACGCCCATATTGGAACGTTACCTATGTTATTCTCCGAGATAAATGTCGTAATGGAAACGTTATTTTTCTTCTAGTTAAAATTAAACGTAGTCGATTGAACCGTATACGAGAATGGCGGTAATATCGTATATAAGACATAAAAACCACCAAGACAAATAATAAACAATCATTTATTTTCTAAGACCAGCACATATTTTATATTTATCGTCGTCCATACTTCATAATGTGTATTGCCAAAAAAATTCGGGACAATATTTTTTTATGGGCATTTAAAATTCTGAATACATTTACTACAGCAGATCGAGCTACGCCATGACAATGGTATAGTTATTTAAAACGTGTTGATCGGAGCTTAATTTTCAGCACGTATAATAACAGTAATTGATTCGGATGAAAAAAATCATGATAAGTTTGATAAGCGAAATAAACGTTGCCTGATTTCCGTTACTTGGCTGAAATTGATATTAGTTTATGAAACAAAATCATGATAGATTTATCCTATGAATTTTGACGCCATATAAAGTTGAGA